AGGAGTCGCCACCGCGGAATGAACCGCCAACTATTCCAGCTTATGCAGTGGATGGCAAAAAAATAATTGTATAGTTTAACATAATCTTTATGAATTTTGTTACTTTGTTACTTATCTATCTGTAATTTGCTAAATAACGAATGCTTTTAGGCATTTTTGCAATGATTTCCAAACCTGGAACATCTTCAAACTGCAAAATAAACGGAAAAATTGATGAAACTTCCAGATTTTTTATTTTTTATTTATTTTTTTTACTTGTATTGTTGAAAAGATATAAAAATAAAAACAATCAAATAATTGTATATTTTAATAAAAAATCTTCATAAATATGCTACTTATTTTTTAAATCTCTATTTGGTTTTCTAGTTAATAAAAAGTAATTAGCAAAATTGTTGAGACTTACATACATTTTAAAATGATTTAATTTGTATTTTTATTTGCACACTTTGTTGAAAAAATCTAGAAAATATGTAAATAAAATTTTAAAATCAAGCAATTATCGATGTTCATAATCATGATCTGGAATGTATGGTCTGAATGATTTAATAAAATCTTTATGAATATGCTACTTATTATATATATTGTATAAGTAATATAATATTTGCTAGCTAACGGGTGCTTTAAGCAATATAGATTTTCAAGCCTGGAACTCCACAAAACAAAATAATATGTAAATATTTTTAATTCATTATTTTATTAGAATATTTGAATATAAATTAAATTAATTAAATAAAAGGTCTAATAAACAGCACAAAATTTAATTTGTTTTATTGTAATGGTATATGGTTGAAAATATGTAAATAAGGCTGAAAACAATCAGATAATTTATTTTTGTATAAAATCGTATTCAAATATAACAAAGCTGCTTATAATATTGTAATTATTTTTAATTTAATAATTAAATTTTTTTTTACATATTAAATAATTGCATCATTGAGAAAAGCCCTTATATGAGTGGCAGAGGCGTTTCTGTTTGTGAAACTTGTGTCCGGCTGTGGTTTGTAATAATGGCCTGTTGTGCAGCAGACGAGTCTTCAAAGACTCTATTGTGGCAGTGGCTGTTCTGTGAGAGCAGGGACGTCTGCGGCTCCACTGACCGTATTACACGTCAAACACTCTTAAAACGCTCTTTAACTCACTTTTACACGCTTCAGCGCTTTTCATCTTCTCTAAATCCCTTTGAAGGACATGTAACATCTGATCCACTCACCGACACTTGGACTTTGTGTCCAGCACAAACAATTCAGTCATTTTACATCCTTATTTATTTAGTTATTTATTTACTTACTTATTTACTTTTATATATGTTCAATTAAGTTTAATTAAATTATTCCTTTACATCCTACCTGGTTCATATAACTGCCTAGCAGCCCTCTGGAACACCTTATAAAATCCCTATAGCATCCCATATAGGACACATTATCAGCTGTCTAGAAACCCCATTGCAACAACATAGAACACCTTAGCAACCATATGCCAACCACTATTAATACTCTAGAAAATGCTGGGAACCACGCATCCATCCATTCATCCATCCATCCATCTATCCATCCATCGTTCCAACTATTCACTCATCCATCCATCCATCCACTTTAAGGCTGCTCTTCTCAGTCTTGTTTCAGGTTGTTGTTTCTCATTGGTCGGGGTGACAGCTGTGTGTTTATGAGGTCATCTGTCCTTTCATCATCGAAGCAGTGACATGTGTCTTTTGATCTGTCCGAACAGGTGTCCCCTTAGTCTCACATGTGTTGCAGAACACACATGCATTTGACACTACACACACACTAGACACACCATGCCATAAGCTGGAGCAGACATGGTGAAGAACACTTGTCCAGCCTATGATGATAATAATGACCTGTCCCTCATCACACTTTCATTTAAAGGTATTTGCACCACAGTCACTGCAGAGAGTGACAAGAGTGGGTGTTAGCAGGCCTCGTTTTTGAAATATAACCTACTTTAATATAGCAATACACTATATACTGCTTAGAACAACCTAACAAACATACAAAACACCCTAGAAACCACATATTAATGTTTTGATGCACCTTTAAAGCACCTTAGTGAACACATAGCAAAACCCTAGAAGAATAGGAATGTACTACTGTACATATAGTTTTTAGAACAGCTTAGTAACCACATAACATCACCCTAAGCACCATTTAGCAATGCACTATGTATTGACCATTTAAGACCCTTTATATGTAACACCATAGATACCACATGGCAATGCATTAGATAAAGCACACATAACGCCTTAATAACCACATAGCATCACCCTAGAAACCACTATTAGAGTGCACTATAGCAATTAGCAATGCACTAATATATACACATTCAGAACTCTTTGTATATACCATTTAGAGTACCTTAGCAACAACAAAGCGACACATTACAAACAGCATAGTAATGCATTATAAGAACACCTTAGTAATAACACAGCAACATTCTACAAACCACATACTGTTGCAATTAACCCTGAAAACTTTTTAAACTCTTAATAACCACAAAAAACACCCTAGAAACCAAATAAAAGTGCTCTAGCAACCATATTGCATTCCATTATATATATATATATATATATATATATATATATATATATATATATACCATTTAGAACAGCCTAGCAACCACATTGCAATGTGTCCTATACAATCCATTTAGAACATGTTAATAACTACATTACATATTAAAAAAACTATGTATACGTCTTGGAATGCATATAGCAACACCACATAGAAGTGCTCTATGAGAACACATTAAAGAGGTGGTCCAGAGTGCATTTTTTTTAAGGCTTGGTTGTGTTTACAAGATGCAAAGCAGTCTGCGCTCATGCTTCATTTGTAAAAAAAAAAAAAAAAATCAGGTTATTTTTTCATATATCCTACTTTGATTATATACAGCTACTCTGCTAACATGAAAACGATCGGTCATATTTCCTAGTTCCTCTGAAAGGCCTGCCCTCAAGAGGCTCTGATTGGTCAGCTAACATAATGTGCTGTGATTTGTGGATCGGCTTACCAGTATGCACCATGACTCTAATAGCACACACTGTGCCTCTGCTGTGTAAACACTGTCAGTCAGAGTAGCTGTTTGCCGTATCAGTTTGAGCCTGAATTGCACAGAAAAGGAAGAGGACAGCTGAACCTCACACCTGCTCTCTAAAATAAAATCTGGCAAGCGTCTTTCACATATATTTGGGTTATAAGCATGTGTAAGTAATATGAAGCATTCACATATATTTTGCGAGTTTGTTATTTGAGATGTACGCAGGGAAAGTGGGAGCAAAGAAAGACACTGCAGCGCTGCTGAAGATTGTGGGTGTTTACTGGGGTTTGACGGATAAATATGAATCTGTAGCTAAATTGTTAGCAGTGCCAAACAGCATTCTCCATTGTTTACGTCCTCACTACAACATACCGTTAACATTAGACGCTGTGCATGTACTGTAACTGATCAATTTTAACAAAAAATAATGCTTACAGGTTGTGGCTCACAATCCACAGCTTCTTCTATTATGGTTGGAGCTGCTCCTTTGAGGAGTTTTTACAACCCAGGCTCATTCTGGAAACGTAGCCCCGCGTACGTTTCTGGAGGCCGCGAAATACGTCCCGGGAGGTACGTAATTGTGCATTTTTTGTTTTCGCAAATGCGCAAGAGGCTGCAGTGCATGCTTTTTCGTGTCTCGAGTGCCTCTTGCGAGCGCCATTCACGCCTGCGCTGTTCTCACGTAAAGCTGCTGGAGTTTTAGTATTTCACCGAATTCTCACAACGTTATGAACTCGTTCGCTTTATTTTTTTAAATTCTGCTTTTTGTCTTACCTGATTTCTGGAACCGCTCTTCCCCAGACTCGACCCCGGTCGTCGCCGGTCACAACGAGCTAACCGGACAAACTGTTTTTGGCGAAAAGCCCTCCACACGGAGGTGAGCCGTCAGCCGGTGAGCGCGATGAGGAGCAGCGTCACACCGCATTAAATGCAGCCATATGTACCTTCGGCCACGTAAATCGTGGTCTCCAAAAACGTCTGCGGGGCTACATTTTCAGAATGAGCTTGGGTTGAGTTTTTAGCTGAATCCAGCACTGAACTGGGAGAGATTCTGGAAGCTGTCCTTTGTCAAATGCTAGCTATATATATATATATATATATATATATATATATATATATATATATATATATATATATATATATATATATATATATATATATATATATATATATATATATATATATATATATATATATATATATATATATATATAAAAATATATATATATATTTATAATTCTCTGGAACATAATTAAGATTAAATTGTAAGCTCTTCTCTCTTTGTGCCGTGTCCTTTGGAAGCCCAAATATAGAAACAGTAGAAGCTCTGTGGAAATATTAGCGCTTAGATGGCATTTTAGCTTTCTCTGTTTTAACATTACAGCACCTCTGGCCATGCCTCTTCGCTGCGTGTGTGCACGTGGTGAATACACGGAACCGGAAGTCCTCTTGATCTCACCAGCCCAGGTGTATTTTTTGTAGTCCCCAAACTTGGTTTGCAGTAGGCTTTGCTAAGCCAACTCTGTAAAAGCCAATGTCTCCCTTTGCATTGAACTTTGAACATCTTACATTCAGAGATGTTGTTTTTTTTCACACATCTACATTACACATCAACTAAAGTCTAAAATATGACATCGCAGTGGACCACCCCTTTTAAAACACCCTAGCAACCACATTGCAATGCATTATATACAAACCATTTAGAACAATTGAATAACCACATAGCAGCAACACATTAATGATTTATATATACCACTTGAAACACTTCATGGACCACATAGCAACACCCAAGCAACCACATAGCATTATGGAGGCTACTTTTGCAGGGAGGAAAGCACAAGCTCATATAATGAATGCATAAGGAAACACTGACTCCTTTGAACAGTGATTTGTCCTCCTCTGAATCACTGATCCATTGACTCCAGCTCTCCTCGTCTTTCTCTTTCCAGATCTGGCCGCTTCGTACCTGAGAGGTCAGCGCAAATTCACAGAGGACGTCGACTGGTCTTACACAGGTGGGTGACGCTGGAACAAACGCTCTTATTGTGTGTCTTTAGAGTGGCTCAGACCCAAAAGCCTTAAAACCCTCGCAGTGAGAGGCGGATAAGATGGCAGTAGATGAAGGTGAATAATGCCGGATCAGTGTCCGTCGAGCGGCACACACCACTCCGAGATTAGCTGAAAGTCTTAGACACTTTCCAGACACTCAAGGTTTTAGAAAGAGTAAGTGACTTTCAGGAGCGTTCTTGGCCTTGACTTTTGGCTTTTAATTCAGGCTGAAGGGTGCTTTGATTGGGGAAAAATATAAAAAAATGTTTGTGGCATTTTAATAACCACAGAGCATCAACATAAAAACAAATACATATACTCACCGGCCACTTTATTAGGTACACTTGTCCAAATGCACATTAACTTAAATTTCTAATCAGCCAATCACATGGCAGCAACTCTGAAGGCAAAAGGGTGTCCAATCCGTTACTAGTAAGGTGTACCTAATAATCCTAGCACCCATAAAACAACCATACAGCGTTAAAGTGGCAATTTTTGCATGGGGAAAAAAGGCTAGGCGAGTTTATTTATAGAGTACATTTCATACACAATGCTAATTATAAGTGCTTTACATAAAGAACAATAAAAGAAACAGGAAAATACAAATATTAAAGAATTTTTTTATGATTTTAACATAAAAACTGATTAAAATGTGTTAAACAGATTATAAAAGAATGAAAAAGAAAAGAAACACATAATAGCATGATCTGTGGAGCGTAGCACAGTGCTCATTCAGTAAAGGCGCAGCTAAACAGATGTGTTTTTAGTCTTGATTTGAATGTGCCTAATGTTGAAGCACATCTGATCATTTCTGGAAGCTGATTCCAGCAGTGGGGGACGCTGTTAGTAGCTGAAGGCGGATCCACCCTGCTTTGACTAAACCCTTGGAATTTTTTATTTATATTATCCTAATTCCTAAAGATCTGAGGGATCTGTTATGTTTGTATTCAGTGAGCATATCTGTAATGTATTGAAGTTTTAGGCCATTTAGTGATTCATAGACAAGTAATGATACTTTAAAATCTATTCTGAATGTAACTGGGAGCCAATGTAAAGACCGGAGGGCAGGTGTGATGTGTTCTGATGTCCTAGTTCTGGTCAGAATCCTGGCTGAAGTGTTCAGGATGAGCTGTAACTGTCTGACTGTCTTTTTTTTTATGAAGGCCAGTGAGGAGTCCATTACAGTAATCCACCCTGCTGCTGATAAAATCTTGAACAAGTTTCTCTAAGTCCTCACTGGAAACAAAGCATCTAATTCTTGCAATATTTTTGAGATGACAGTGTGCTGATTTACTTACTACTTTGACATGACTATTGAATTTCTAATCTCACTCCAGAATCACACCAAGGATCTTGACCTTATGTTTTGTTGTTTGACCCTTAGATCCAAGGTACGCATTCACCTCGAGAACCTCAACTCTTTTCCCAAACGCAATGACTTCAAGAAACTATGAAATAATGAGATATCACATTTCTAGATTGTACCAGTAGTTGAACAATGAAAAATAACTCTAAAAGATTCAAACACAATCCTAATGTAATGTTGTGTAATTTAGACCAGGGCCAGTATTTAAAATTTATTTAAAAGTACACTCAACTTTTAAAAAAAAAGCTGTTTTACGAGACCTCTAGGCAAACAGTTGAGCTTTACATTATTTTAGATAATTCAGCTGATTTCTAGACTAGGTCTGACAGGAGCATTTATAGCTTAGTTTAGCTTAGCGTAATTTATTGAATTGGATTAAACCATTAGCATCAAAAGATTTTTAATAAATTTCCTATTAAAGCTTCTGTAGTTATTTTGTTCACTAAGACCAACAGAAACTTACCATTTTCTAGGCTTATATGGCTATGAAATATACTTTCATTTCGGTATAATAATCAAGGACCTTTGCTGCTGTTCCATGGCTGAAGCAGGTGCAACAATATTACAGTAATCTACAGTTATTACAGCAATAGTACAGTATTACAGTAATACTTTGGAGGTGATTTATGACACAATTTGGACTTCCTCATTTAAGAACATGTTCAGAATATTTACACTGAATGGTGGCATTTCAATAGGGAGTTTACATTCAACACACATATGACATTAAACAATTTTCAAGACATAATGAAATGCACATTGGTAATGAAATCTAAGTGAAATCTTTTTCAATTAGTCTCATTTACAAATTTTAAACTTACTGTGTTAATGTGGAAATCAATGATATTAACCGATTATGATTTAATTAATCTTAGTTTCTTAGTTTTGCCAGTTTGTATTTGTAAAACCCCTTACACACCACATCCTACAGCACCTAACACCGGGATGAGAAATCAAACTCCATAACATGATCACTGACATTATTATAACTGCTAATGTTGCTCTCTGAGTTTGCAATGTGGGCAAAAACTTATTTGTCTGGGTGTGAATTGTGATACTGGCTGTGTGTGTGTTGTGTTCACTGAGCCGAAACTAAATGAATTAACATGTGAAAGCACACAGTTGATTGTGAGGCTCGGCACAGGCCTGTGGTGAGAGAGAAACACGTTCCTCTGTTTTTAACTCGGGTTGTTTCTCATAAATGCTTCCCTCCTCAAACAAAAGCTGTCAAGTCTGAATGCTAATTTGCTCATAGACTCTCGCAAGTTCAGCTGACAGTCACATAGTGACTCCGTAACGCTTCACATTTACTCCTCGTGTCTGGGAAATGGCCTTTTTTACTCTATTTCTTTTTATTATGGACTAATTGTGAATTAGATGTTTTGGTCTGGTCACCTGATTAAATCACAGCATGTTTCTCTCTCCCGGTGTGGTGTATTTTCACAGAGGCGCTTGAAAACTTTTTTTATTTTAGCCTCCTTTCTTCATGTCTAATCCGTATTAGCATCCTTTACTGTGGGAACATTTAGGCAAATGCAATGGACCAGATAGCTTTTCTTGTGAAAATTAAAGAGCGTTTTGAATACGACTTGTGTTTTACATTTCATGGGAAAAGCAAATGCTGGAACACCTTGGAATTGTTTTTTAATGAATTTTATTTCATTAAAAAGATGCATATGCATTAATATATTCAATCGTTCATTTATTTTTCATCGGCTTAGTCCCTTTATTATTCATCAGGGTTTGCCAAAGTTTGCCAATGGATGTGCTGCTGTGGAATATCAGGGCTTCTCTGATGATGTCTCTTTGACAGATTGGGAGAAATATGATTAGCCACACCCCTCCCATCATTAGTTTGCTGCAAGTGAAAGATAAGAAGGAGTGCAAAATAAAACCCCGCCCCCTGCTCAATATTCAGTTTTAGTTGGAAATGCATCATTATACTGATGTAAAAGTCTGCAGCAACTTCCTGTTATTCAACTTCCTGTTATTATGGTTTAAAGTGTCTTGGTTTTGTTATAATAATTTAATAATTAAGCATTTTAGTAATCCTTTCAAAGAAAGAAATATAAGTTTTAAATGTATATTTTTGATAAATATTTCAGATTTTACTTGCATGTGTATAAATAATTAAAATAATTTGACCTTTAAGGCATTTCATTTGAGAAAATAAAATTTATATCAACAAATTATACCAAATGCACCATTTTATACAATTACATTTTGAGTTTGCATGTTCTCCGTGTGTTCGCGTGGGTTTCCTCCGGGTGCTCCGGTTTCCCCCACAGTACAAAGACATGCGGTAAAGGTGAATTGGGTAGGCTAAACTGTCCGTAGTGTATGAGTGTGTGTGAATGAGGGTATGGATGTTTCCCAGAGATGGGTTGCAGCTGGAAGGGCATCCGCTGCGTAAAACATATGCTGGATAAGTTGGCGGTTCATTCCGCTGTGGCGACCCCTGATTAATAAAGGGACTTATCCGAAAAGAAAATGAAATAATTTACCTTTCGTTTATATTCTTCATATAGTATTATTCAGTTGTTTAGATGAAGTGTGCTTTTGTAGAAATCTCCTTTTTTTTAATTCATAGTACCTACAGGGGCGGACTTAAACAATAAGCAAGGTAACCAGCTGCTTAAGGCCCCGGATAATTAGGGGGCCCGACCAATGCCAAGAAGCCTATATTAATCATAAAGCTCTATTATAAACTTTATATCATATGTTGTAAAACTATTTTCTTTAACTATTAAAGTTTTAATGTCATTACTTTATTTTAAAACCGGGGGCCCCCATGAACAGTGGACCGTTTCGTCCCTACTGTACATGCAAATATTAAAATCCAATCACAAATATGGCTAATTACCTGAACATAGTTTGTGAACTTTTTTTATTTGTCAATTTATTGTATTTAATTTTACATTAAGAAGATAAAGGTTCCACCTTAAAATATATTTTTAACATGCAGGTAATCTGCAAAAAAAAAAATCTACTTTCACAATCATCCAGCCTGTGCAGATCGTTGGTAAACACACAGTATGCTACCGAACTACAAAGGACTACAGATCCAGTCATGCACCACACACACACCGGTTTCTGATCCTGACTGTAAAAACACAGCCAGGGGATTGTTAAAGACTCATTACACGGACTATTTATGCGTTTCCCTTGCCTTGACTTGTCGTGTACTGATCTTCATCAGTTTTGCTTTTTTACGTTGTCTGCTGCCTGCCTTTTGACCATCCACCTGTTTATGACCATGTCTCTGGATTTACCCGTATGCATCCGTTTGCTCCTGGGTTGACTGTTGCTAGCCTGACCATTCTCTGCATATTAAACCCTGCATTTGGATCTGCACTTTATCAGCATCCCTTCACATTACATCTACAGAGAAAAAAATAGTGACTGTTTTGAGTTTCAATGCTTGGGCCCCATATCTGGAATTGCTTAGGGCCCCCAAATCACTAAGTGCGCCCCTGAGTACCTCCACTCACATTCACACATGTTGTGCTTTCTCCTCCTCCTGTTTGTCAGCATTACTTACAGGAATCTGGGTGGAAAGTGTTGTGGGTAATTGTCTGGTGTAATCAGCCTGACTGTGTG